ACAACAATAACAGATCTACATACACACAAATATACATATGAATGACTAGAGATATGCAAAGAACAAACAGAGGAAAACAAACGTTTAAAGAAAATATTATGAAGTGCTCGATGGATCATTAAGCACAACAAGTCCCTGATTTTGAAGACAATGTAAACGTCGTTCGACTGCTTCCCGATATTGTCGTAATATTGAACGATCGCAATCGGTTGTTGCTTGTTGACTTAAACTATGAAATAAAACTTGGGCTTGAGTATACGGTCCAATGCACTATTAGAAATAAAAAAAGATAAATTCATTTGTTTTTTAATAAATAAATAAATTATTTTCTTACTTCTTGAGCTTTACCAAAGAATTCTAGACTTGCTGCATTTAAACAAAGATCAATTGCATGTAAATAAAGTAATTTATCAGCCGTCAATGTAACTCCTTTCATTTCATCATGTGTTAATAATTCTTCTTGTGTACTTAATTGTTTACACATTATTAAACAATGTTTATATTTATTATTTAAATCACCAACGGCATTTCTATTTTAAAATAAAAAAAAACACATTTGCAAGAAATTCCTACTAAACATTCTATTTAATACGTAATATAAATAAAATTTTCTCATGCATCATAATCTAAGAGTATATCTATTTATATATTCTATACATAGAGAATCAAAAATATTTTTCAATCGTTATATTTCTCTTCCTTCTTATCAAATGATATTCTAATTGATTAGTGTAAGAAATAATATCTTACCGAACACCAACTGTTGCATGTAGTTTTCCAGATTTAAGTGTATCCCTAAAATAAAACAATTCTTAAAAAATGAAATTTATAATAGAATCAATATACCGAGCAAGACACATAGCTGAACTAAGAAAATGCATTGCTTTAACATAAAGTGTTAATTGTTCAGCACGTTTATATAAATCATCAACATGACTGAGACGATCCATTTTTGGTCGTGATGAATTGTTACTGTTCTTATTATTTAAACTTAATGATTCTGTTAATAAACTTGTACGTGAACTAGCTAAATTTAATATATAATCGACTAATTGAAGAATAAAATCAAGTTTATTCAATGTATCATGATGTTCATTCTATAAGGAAAAGAAAATTTTGTTTGGTTTTGTTTTTGAAAAAAATAAATATTTACATCCATCAATGTATCATCTGTTATTTTTTGTGGTTCATAATAACGACCTTCAGGTTTAGCATCACCAAATATCGAACTAACACGTTGACGAAGTGGTCCTGTTGTTGTTTGCTGTTCAAGATTTGTTGCAAAAAATTCTAAATTATTTTCTTGTTCAAAAAATCGATCATGTGGATCTAAATTTTAAAAAAGATGAATGAATATAATCAGTTTATTAAAATAGATTTATTTACTATCAATATCACTTAATTTCTGTCGTGATCTAAGTGGAGATGTATCAATAATTAATTTAGAATTTTGTTGTTGAACAAGACTAGAATTAGATGCAGATTGTTGTATTGCTCGTGATGGTGGTGGTGGTGTTGTAGCTAAAATTAAAATATATTTAGATTTCTATAAGAGAAAACGTAATTTATTTATTTTATTTACTTGTACGACGTGTTGCTGTTACTAAACTAAATGGATTTACTGTTGCAACTGCAGTATCAGCAGTAAATCGTACAGCTGGTGGACTGATCGAATTAGCTAGATCAGAATTAGATGAAACAATACTTGCTTGACGAAGTCTATCTAATGATGTACGACGATCTAATTGAAAACATAAAAAAAAATTGTGATGAGAAAAAAGACAAAATGTACCATCATATGGACTACCACTTGGGCTACTAGCTGATACACCACCAAGACTTTTAGTACGATCCCTTGATTCTTGCATTTTTTCATAATTATGAACTTGTGAGGGGACTGGTATTGGCTGACTAATACTTGAACCTCGTGTATCTTTGATTGTAGTTGTATTTTCAATAGCTGTTAATGCAAGATTATCTGGTCGTTGAGATGATGCATCTTTTGAACATCTTACAAAAAGATATAAAAATCAATATAATATTTTATTTCATCATAATAAATAACTTACAAAATTCCTTCAGATAATGTACGATGTTGTTCTTTATTGAGCCGTTTTTCTCGCGAAAGTTGTGCAAATGATGTATGATTACCTGTAAGAAAATAAATTTTATTTAGTGATAAAAGTTTTGTATTTTTTAAAATATTGTACCTGCTGGAAGACTTTTTTCATTAGTACCATGGTCTGGTATAAGTACAAAATCATCTGGTTTGGTAGATATCGGTGTTGTTGGATTTGATGAACGTTTAATTGTTGATTTATTTGTATTGATTGTTGGACCTAGATTATTTACAAGATTCGGTGATGGAGAACGACGATTATTAATAGTTGATTGTGGTGCAATTGTTAATGTATTTGACACAACATCTGGCTCATATTCAGGAATCGGATCGATTTGACGGTTAAATTGCCGAGGAATTGTTAAATCCTAAGAAGAAAAAAAACAGATAAATAGTTGATAGAAATCAATCTTTTATGAGATTCTTTTATCCAATTTCCTATCAGAGTTATTCATTTCAGTATGCTAAACTTACGAAGTCTTGTCCTTGTGATAGAATGCCTTCGCGTAATGGAGATGAACTAATAATATTTATAGTTGATGTTTGTGTTCGACCCGATGATATTGGCATAGGTTGACCTAAAAATATTTTCTCAAAAATTATCATTATAATTAAAAAAAATGAAATTTACTTTTTGTTAAAAATGCATGAGTAAAAAAATCTTCATAATCAATTCGTTCTTTTGGATTTCTTTTTAATATTCTTACGATTAAATCAGTTAATTCTCGTGAAGTCGATGATGGAATTCTATAGAATAAAACAAGACAATTGGCAACTTTATCTATCTTAAAAAAAAATAACATACGATGGTGCTAAATTAACATTTCTTTCATAAAATTGTTTAAGTGCTTGTGGTGTTTGTGCTTGAAATGGTGCTTTGCCTGTTAAACATTGATACATAATTGTACCAATTGACCATAAATCAGCTTTTCCATCATATTGCAATGATCGAATAACTTCTGGTGCCATATACATTGGAGAACCGCATAATGTGCCAGCCATAACACCATCAGATAAAAATCTGGCAAAACCAAAATCAGCTATTTTTAATATGATGTCTTGTACACGCGGATTATTTTTATCAGGATGTGATAAAAGAATATTTTGTGGTTTTAAATCTCGATGTACCTTGAAAAAGAAAAGAAATTGTGACTTTTTTTATTTCTAAAGAAAGATAAATAATATCTACTTACAACATTATGTTCATGACAAGCACGAATAGCAGCAGCTAAGAAAAAGAAAACAAAATAAGTTTTATAAATTTATAGAAAATAGGATCGATTGTATAGCGTTCAAGTTCATAGATTTATTTACTATAATCAAAATAACAAAAATCAATCACTAATAGCGATTTTATTTAGAGATTAATTTGAAATTGTTATATGTACTTATATTAATATTAAAAAGCGAATTATTTTTGCCTATCTTAAATAAAGAGCAAGTATTTTATATTAAAATACTTTTAATTATCAACAATATGAAAGACAATTAATTTTAGCTCAATTGATAGACGAATAAATATAGAAATCGGACACAGCGTTTCAAGATAAATATGCGTACTTAAATGGTCAGACATTCAAAAGAGGATGAATTTCGATTTCCGATTTGACCATAAGATAAGTTACATGCTTATTGAAATTCTCTAATATTCTTGTACCCATTTGAATCTAATATGTAATTTTGATATATTATTGAAGAAATCGTATATATTCACTGAAAATGAATGTAAGTATCATACATAATCAGTTAGTTAACTTATTACCAATATCGATGAGGTTAGACTAATATTATTTCTTGTACACTAGATGATAATATCATTAAAACAGTTCTAATTTGACAATAGTTCTGCCTAAATTATTTCAGTATCGAATCATATTTGAGTTTTAATCATTTCATTATGGTTTTATTCTTCTTAGCTACGTATCTGCTAATAGAGGTTCACTTCTTCCAGAATCAATTTTAATTACCTAATCGTTAATACACTCTATGAAATTTATAATTCAATAGTATCGATTCTAATTCTAGAATTGAATTAATTCTACTGAACTCAGCTATTTCTCTCATCAATTTATAAAAAATAACAATGATATTTTTTTTACCAATTTGTCGAAAAAAAATAGCAATAGTGTCTTCACTAAGTGTTTGTTTTGCTTGAAGATAATCAGCTAAATCACCGCCATTACAATACTAAATAGAATACAAAGAATAGATGATTGATTAATAGGAAAATAATTAACAAACCTCCATTACAAGATAAACATTATTTTGAGATTCCTATTAGGAAAAGAAAGAGATTATAGTGCAAAATAGATTTTTTTGTTAAATTAATGTTACTTTGCAATCTAATAACGCGACTAAATTTTCATGTTTAAGTTTAGTTAATTCCTAAAAATAATATAAAACTTAATAAAAATAAAGCAAAGAAATGTTTTATTTTACTTTAAGAATTTTGATTTCTTTTTCTAATAAACTTTGTGATTTTGCTAATTGTTTTTTTGTTATCTGTTTAATAGCTACTTGCTGATCAGGACTCTTCGAAAATATAAAAACAAATATAAACAAAATATCGAATATTTTGTTCAATCACATACATTTTTTGAATGGCCAAGAAATACAATAGCAAAAGCACCATGACCAATTAAGTCTCGTTTGCTGTATTGATAATCACCAATTGTTTCAGGCATTTTTGGTTTTTTTTGTATTAATATATGTTTAAATCATCAATAACGGTTAAAAAATAAGTTGTCGTCTACAAAACAAATGTTTATATTTAAAGAAAAAACAATGACAAAATATAGTTGAGAAGTAAAAAAACATTTTATGGTTAATAATTGGTTAAAGAACGAGACGATACATGATGCAATACTAGTTTTAAATTTATATGCGTTCATCTCTTCATTATTCGCATTTATATGACACATATATAGGTCGTCATTTTCTCTACACAGACATGCGCGCAATTATCAACAACCCCAATAATATAACCTATGCATCGCCTTATATGCGTAGGATATCGAGAGCACAACACAATCAGATAGCAGCTGAGTCTATGCTACATACATACATGTATATATATATATATATATTTGTATATATACATGTAAAGAATGAGAAGAAAAAAGCGAGAAGAACGAACAAAAGAAAAAACGTTGTCTTGTGACGATGACTTATATTCAAAATTTTTCTTTTTCTTTTTTTTCTTGTGTTCGATTCAGACTCAACAAAACATTTCATGTTTATTGCAATCATACATAGAAAAAAAAATGATGTCAAAAGGTAGCAGGGGAATAAAAGAAAAAAAGAGGGTGACATAGTATATTAAAGCTAAAAGTACATTGTTATAAGTGGAACTTTGTAATAAGATCCTCGAGAGTATTAGTCATATATTATCCTTTTGTTTATTTGTCACGCAGCTTTAATTATTTCTTTATCTTTGTATAAATGAAAAGAATCGAATAGCATGCGTCAACTTGTATGATAAAATTCTTCTGAATACTACCCATACTTTTTATGGAAAATAAAATTCAAGGACAAGCAAACTGTTTAGATAAAATCTTATTCATTTTTGTATAGAAAAAACGAACTAAATGTTAATCAATGTATAAATTAAATCATACTAACTGAGATAAGGTCAATAACAGACATACATATACATATCTCAACTGATATATAAGTAAATAAGACCTCGGTCACTTTTATTACTAATCATACATTTCTTTCTCTCTCTTCATTCCTTTTCCCGATTCGATCACGTCTACAAAGCATGATAAGAACATGTAGAAACTGTTTTGTCAGATGTTTTTTTTTATTAACATGTACTCTGTTAACATAGAGACGAAAGTATGTTATGTTTTCTTTCATTCTTTTGCTATACAATGAACTGCTTTTATCGTAATGTTTGTCTTCGAAAATGAGACAAACATGTTTTAGTAAGTTATTGATTCCATTTAAATTTATTGAGAACGAGAAAAGTAAACAAATGATGAATTATACTAGTAAAAAATCTGATCACTTCATTATCAATATATACATATAGATATAGAAATCTAATAATTGACGTACCTTTGTATTGAATATGTACAATTTGTTTAATAAATACATAAAAAAAGAAATTTGCGTTTATTTTATAATCTAAAAATCAAGATAAAATTTGTCGTTTTCTGAAAACAGATCATAAGACTTTGTTTTAAGTTAAAAATCGAGTAATCATCAAGAAGCCCAAAACAATAACAATAACAATAGCAACAACAAAAACAACAATAAGAATAAATGAATCTACTAATATAATAAACAAAAGAAAAAATGAACATCAGTTTAAATTCCAATAATCAGTCATTCTCTTATAGCCACTTAAACAAATATTCCAACCCAAAGTAAAAGAAATAAACCACCATATCCAAGAAAAAATGATGCAACACTAAAAATAAAAATATCAATGAATATATAAACATTTTTATATTATATATGTATATATACAGAGCAATAAGAAGTTCTTTTTTCCAATCACGAGTATATTTTGTACTTGTGACTTCATAAACAAAAAACCATGCCATTAAAAATATTCCAATACCTGAAAATGAATTAAGACAATAAAAAATAAAGATTTATTCTTATGAAAGAATATCTTTTTATTTACCTAATAAAACTATACTAAGTGTTGGAAAAGCACCTGGATTAACTGGACTAACATAACGGCTCATTTGATCAACATTTAATCGGACCATATTTATTTCTTATTTAGAGAAAAAATGAACTGTTTTCTTTTATATTAATCTTAAAATAAAAACAAAAAAAAGATTACACTGTCATCAAATCTCTTGTTTTATTTTTATTAAAATACTACACTAAAAGACAGAATAAGGATAATAATAAAAATAGGTTCTAATGGGAAAAAAAAAAGAAAAATTAATTTTTTCTATCTTTTTTCAAATCATTTCGATTTTGATAAATATTGTTTAGCAAAGGTTAAACCAGCTTCGATATTTCCATTAAGTTCTTTCTTAGCTTTTTCAACTAATGTCTTTTCATAATCGGTTAATTTACCAAAACCCATACTCTTTTCAACACCATTACGCTAATAAAAAGAAAAATAAATAAATAAATAAATAATGCTATATAATATAGAATAAACATACGCCAAAGAGAAGTGGTGTAGCAAAATAACTAAAATCTCCTTTTGATGCAATATAACCACATTCGACAACACCTTCTTTACCATTTAATGCTTCAAGAACAGAAAATGAAAATCTTGCACCAGCATGAGCCATTGATAATGTTGCACTACCAGCTCCAGCTTTAGCATTAACAACTTCAGTACCACCATTTTGAATACGATTTGTTAAACTATCTAAATCTTGTTGTGAAAATGTAACTGGTGGTGAAGCTTGAGAAAGTAATGGAATTATTGTATTTCCCGAATGACCACCAATAATAGGTATGTTAACTTTTGTTGGATCAAGACCCTTGAAATATGAAATAAAAAAGTTTAAAAAAACAATAATGTCAAAACAAACTTTGTTTTCAGCAACAAAAGTAGCAGCACGAACAACGTCCAATGTTGTAACACCAACAATTCGCTTTTCATCGTAAACATTGTGTGCTTTTAAAATTTCTGATGCAATAACAACAGTTGAATTAACTGGATTTGCAATAATAGCAATAATTGCTCGTGGACAATTTTTAGCACAAGCAGTTACAAGGTCAGCAACAATTGTTGCATTTGTATTAAATAAATCGTCTCGTGTCATACCTTAAATAAACAAATAATATTTTTCTTTCTTTTTTTATAAAATATAAAAATTAATCGTACCTGGTTTTCGTGGTATACCAGCAGGAATAACAACAAGATCCATTCCTTTAAGTGCATTAGCTAATTCTTCTTTACCAACGTAAGCTTTAACTTTGGCACGTGTCTCAATATGACTAAGATCAGCGCCAACACCTTTTGTATGTTGAATATCATAAAGTGATAATTCACTAATCAATGGACTTAATTTAAGTAATAATGATAGTGGTTGTCCAATACCGCCACTGGCACCTAATACGGCAACCTTTTTCTATTCAAATGAGAAAAACAAAAGAATTAAATTAAACATAAACTAGGATGACATACAGCATTTGTTGATGTATTTGATGATGATACACAACGAATGAGATTGGGGTTAATTTTTGAGATAAGAGAACCAAGTAAAATTGGACTTTTGTTCATTTTGTTTCTTTGATTGCTTTAAGAAAAGTTCTAAAAAAATAAAAATTCAAATAAGATCTTTCTATCTCCAAAAATGAAATCTTATGTATGATGATTGATTATTTTTGTTTTGTTTATTTATATCAGTGAGTTGGCTTTTTTAATTTAGCCAATCATAAGAAGCGCTACATTCAATGTATTTAGAAAAAGATATTTATCAAAAGAGTTCTTATCTGCAAATTACAAAAAATAAATAAATAAAATATTTTTATACAAAAATCAAATTTTTACTTTAATAATATCATTATGAAAGGCTGAAAATTATTTTTCATAGGTCTATTACACATCGGTCAAACGCGCTGAACTGTGATTGGGGAAATAATGATAGATGACAAAAAAAATCGTGTAACTAGAATGTTGGTTGTTGATGGAATTACCGTTATATTATAAAGTTAGTTAGTCTTTTTTTCTACTTTTTTCCATTCTACAACTCATATTTTAGATGAACTCAACAATGTATTCATCTTTATTGCTATTTATCCTTGGTTTTATTGCGACGACAAATGGATTCTATAGTTCGAGTGATGATGTTATTGACCTTAATCCATCAAATTTTGATAGCCTTGTGACACAAAGTTCAGATATTTGGTTTGTAGAGTTTTATGCATCATGGTGTGGTCGTATGTATCTTGTTAAAAATGTTGTTTTTATACTTAATCTTGTTTTATTCTCATGTAGATTGTAAGAATTTAGCACCTGAATGGAAACGTGTTGCAACAGCATTGAAAGGTATTGTTAAAATTGGTGCTGTAGATGCTGATACACACAAATCACTTGGTCAACAATATGGAATATCAGGTTTTCCATCAATAAAAATATTTGGAAATAATAAACGATCACCAACAGACTATCAAGGTGGACGAACAGCTGATGCTATCGTTGAACAAGCTCTCAATCAATTGAGAACAATTGCAAATGAACGTTTAGGAAAACGAAGTGGAGGCGGTGGTGGTAGTAGTGGTGGTGGTGGTGGTGGTGGAAGTGGAGGAAAAGATGCAATTGAATTGACAGATAGCAATTTTGATGTAAAAATTCCTTTATAAAATTTTTATATATTATATTTTTTCTTTTTTAGTCAACAGTTATCGATTCAGAAGATGCATGGCTTGTTGAATTTAGTAAGTAATTCATTTTTCGATATCTTATCTGTTTCCTGCTGTATTATCTACTGAATAGAAAACTAATTGAATATGTCATTTTGATTAAAATTTGATCACTATGACGATTCTTTCTCCAGTGAAAATAGTGAATAAGCAATATGAATAATATTTGTATTGATGTTTATTTATTATGATAGATTTTATATGTATACTTTAAGTGCGATATAGTACAGGTAAAAAGAAACGATGAGTCCGTGATGATATAGGTACTTTGCCCCTATTTGTTTACGCTTATTCAATTTTTTTACGTGTAAAAAAGTCATGAATTTCGATTCAGAAAAAGTATCAGTTCTATTAGCTTATATGTGAAGTATGAAATCCAAAACAATCAATTCTATGATTTTGAATGAAAACGTCTTTGATCTATTATATTTTTTCTTTTTTAGTGGCTCCATGGTGTGGTCGTAAGTGTATATTATAAGTAATTCATACGAAACTTCATGTTTATATTGAATAGATTGTAAGAATTTAGCACCTGAATGGGCTCGTGCTGCTACAGAATTGAAAGGTAAAGTTAAATTAGGTGTTGTTGATGCAACTGTTCATCAACAATTGGCACAACGATATGGAGTCCAAGGTTTTCCAACAATAAAATTTTTTCAAGCTGGTAGAAAAGATGGTCAAGCTGAAGATTATGATGGTGGACGAACAGCAAATGTATGTTATTTGTTTAAATAAAAATAAAACATTCTCATTTATTTTTATTTTTTCAAATAGGATATTGTTGCTTGGGCATTAGATAAAGCTCAAGCAAATATTCCTGAACCGGAAGTTCTTGAAATTACAAATCAAGCTGTCTTGGATGATAGTTGTGCTGATAAACCATTATGTATTATTTCATTTTTACCAAATATTCTCGATTGTCAATCAGCTTGCCGTAATAAACATATAAAAATGTTAAAAGATTTTGCTGAAAATTATAAACGTAATAGTTGGGGTTGGTTATGGGTTGAAGGATTTCGTCAACCAAAACTTGAAGAAAGTGTTGGCATTGGTGGTTTTGGTTATCCAGCACAAGTTGCTATAAATGCACGCAAAGGAAAATATGCTATATTAAAAGGTTCATTTAGTCAAACGGGTATTAGTTCATTTTTAAAAGAATTATCTGCTGGTCGATTAACAAGTCCACTTGTACCATTGAAAGATGTACCTGAAGGAAAGTTACCAATAATTGTTGGTAGTGAAGCATGGGATGGTAAAGATGGAAAATTAGATGTGATTGAAGATATTGATTTGAGTGATGTAAATTTGGATGATGATGATATAGATGATAAGAAGAAAAAAGTTGATTTATAAATTGTACTGATAAAAAAAAGATAGTCAATTGAATGATATACATTCCCTCCGTGCTTTTTACTTGTTGCTTCGTTTTTATTTTTGGTTTGTTATATGTGTATGTGAGCATGCTTAATAATTGTTATTTATTTCTCTTAAATTAATAAAAATATCGACGACTACAGATTTATGTTTTTATATCTAGATCTTTGTGACATATAACAATAAAGAGAATTAGAATTAGTATAATTTAATGTGAAAATGATGAGATATCCGGTTGCCCTCTTTTGTCTTTATTAGTACGTTTCAATTTTTTTATTCTATGCTAGTGACTAACGTTGAGTGTACTTTGCCCCATTCATGTGTTCTTCTCTCATTTTTTTCTTTCTTCTTCATAGAATAATGTGCTTTTTTTACTCTTCGTTCTTTATCGTATTCGAGTCGATAAATCAGACAGCCTTCTATTACTATTTCTCGATAGTATTGCTCATTGTCGTTCTATTGTGTAAAAGGGTGTGTGTGTGTATGAATGCATGAGAAAATATATTCTTTTTCTAATCTTCTGAACGTATGCTAATCATAAGCATCATTCAGTAGCATGAATTATGATTACTTTAATCATCTAATTCTTTCCTATTGCGTGTAACTCTTACTATAGATTCGTGTATATTTAATCATAGATGTATACAGTCGGTATAAAGAGAAAGAAAGGTATTGAGTGCAGATTTTTTTTTATTGATTTTATTTTTTTTTCTCTTAGTTGTGATATATCGTTGGATGTCAAATGTGTATATACTTTTATAGTTTTTCTTTTCTTTCTCTTTTTCTGTTCTTATTATTAATGACGTAATTATTTCCTAAATAGAACAAAAAGAAAAAGAAATTGCGAGAGACAAGTTCTATATGATACAAGCGTCACAAGATAAAAGCACATGAGTGGCCTGTTAACTTATTATAATGACATGTTTCTTTCAATCAATCCATTCTAGTATAACTACATAATTATAGTAATTTTCTCATCGATATTTAAATAATTAGTATAGAATATCGTATTATTATTATTATTTTAGATTTATTTGTATTCATTTTTTGTGCACATAACAATTGTACGGTGTGAACTCCATTATCTAGTCGATGATCAAACCTTCGGGTGAGTATCTTTTGATTGTAATTTTTTCTTTTTTCTGAATAGCAACCATTCAAAATGGTCTAAAATTCTCATTTTTGATCATTTGGTAGAGATAAAATATAACTAAGCGATCCATTCCCCTAGCGTATTCATGCATATGTACAGCTGTTTTGAATGATTGTACAGCAGGAGAATCGATATGCATAAACATACAATTCGAAAGAATATTAAAGATTGTTTCAACAACATCTACCAGTGATCCATGTTTGTTTACACTTCTCTTTCTCCCTCTCTCTCTCTCTGCCGCTTTTACTTGCTGGCATGTAAAATCATAACATAGAAGTGTGTTCTTGTATGTATTGACAGGTGGTCTGACTGTGAAGCAAAGGAAACTCAATCTCATTGGTAGTCATCATTCGTTACTTGATAAATATATCAACATTCCTCTTGTTCACACATATATAGCATGGTCTCATTGATGAGACGATTAAAGTTCGAGGTAACAAGATAATATCAAAATATACATTTATATAGTGTGAATTACTTTACTCATCGTTATAGTTAATACGAAATTTTATTCTCTTTTTTTCGTTCGTAACGTTTCATAAATTTTCTCATATCTTTCTTTATCGAATAAATAGTGCATTGTTCACGTATAAGAAGAATAGTTTTGATTTATTTGTCTATCGATACACTTGTATCTTAAGATATACTTCATAAATGTATTGAAAAAAAAATTTGTATCATTGAAAAAAAAAGTTTACCTTTTGTTTTTCTTTCTCATCTAGTAGTAGTATATGTATTGTTATTCTCTTCCATTCTATTTTTCTCTATGAAAATTCTGTTTGATCTATGACCGATTTCTCTCACATCGCGAATAGCTTTATTAGAAAATTATATTTTGATTATTGCTTACAATCATACAGACGTCTATTTGTAAGTGCATCTATTGACCGTAGAGCTATATATGAATGAAGAAGAAGAAGAAGAAGAAGAAGAAGAGAATTTTTAAAAAAATACAAATCGATATATAATGTTGCAGTTACACTATACATAGTTTATAATCAAACGAACAGAACGAAAAAAGAAAACGCGAAAGAATAGTACTTGAATAAAAAAATTGAAATTGCCTTTTTTTTTTCATGATCAAATACCATAAGTTAATAGCAGATGTATGTTTACACATATGTATATTAAAATAAAAAACAAACTGACACTTTTATTTTTCTTCTCCTTCTAGGTAATCAATTACCGATGTCCAAAGTTCTTTCAAGGTTTGTGTTGACATTTCATAAGTTAATATATATTAATGTATGTAAACTTTTTGTTTAGATAATCTTATTTCAATCATGCAGTCATTATCAGTCTATGCTCGATTATTTGCACGTGCTCTAGGTGGTACAGAAGTCGAAAATATTCTTTTTAATAGTTTAATACGTTTATCATCATCGTCATCTATTCATATAACACATTCTTCGAATCGTCTTGCTATAACATATCCTTCGTCAGCAATTCGACGTGCTGTACATCTAGTCAGTGCATCGTCGGGTTATTCAAATCATGATAATGATGAAAATGAGTGTTTACTAAAAACTAAACAAAATAATTCTTCCATTGAACATAGAACGAATGTTTATGGTGATGATGCTTTTTTTATTACAAAACATCGTCTAGGAGATTTTCTTGGTATATCATATTTATATTCCATTTTTTTCTTATAAATAAAATATTTTTAATAATAGGTGTTGCAGATGGTGTTGGTGGTTGGCGTGAACATGGCATTGATCCGTCATTATTTTCAAGTTCATTGATGGACGCATGTAAATCACTTATTGACAATAAACTTCTAGATTTAAATCCATTAACATTAAAAGAATTATTATCCAAAGGTTATAAACAATTATTAGAAGATAAACAATGTATTATTGGTAATTTATCCAAAAAAACAACAAAAATAATTTTTCGAAAACAAATATTCATCTTTTAGGAAGTAGTACAGCATGTATTGTTGCATTACATAATGAACAACGAATATTACATACAGCTAATTTAGGTGATAGTGGATTTGTTGTTATAAGAAATAATAAAATTGTACATCGATCACAAGAACAACAGCATTATTTTAATTCACCATTTCAATTAGCTATTCATCCAACAATTAAAGATCCACGTTTAATTGCTGATAGGTAAGAATACGAAACGGATTCGAATAATTTATTTATTTAAAAATATCATCAGAATAGATAATGTTTTGTATGGATTGTAAATAATTGATGTTCGTAGGTAAATGTAATAGAAAAATATATTTTCGATTTGATTTTGCATTTAATGAAAACAAAAGAAAAAGAATTATTTTTACATTTATGTTTTATTGATATAAAAAAGAATTTCGATAAAAAAAATTGATTTATTGTGTTGTTTTATTTTAGTCCAGATATAGCATCAGTGACTTCCTGTCATGTCGAAGAAAATGATATTATTGTTATTGCAACAGATGGTTTATGGGATAATTTACCTGATGTTACAATACTTGAAGAAGTTAAAAAAATAACAGTAAGTTTATTTAAACATGGATGATTGTATCAGGAGATTTCGTATTTTTTGTTCCACTTTTCCGATTTGATGACATTTCAATAAGTGATAAACGATCTTGTTCATAATCATTATCAGTAAAAATACTTGATGAACGATTATCATAATCTGATCCCGTATGAAAACTATCCGTACTTCGATTTCGTCGAAGTTTATAAGATAGAGAATTATCTAGATAGAGAAAAGAACATATATATAGATATAATAAATAAATTCAGCACCATCTTTTCCTTCTGAATATGCTTTTGATGATTCAGCATCAATATCTTTCATTGGTATGTCATCAAATGGTGATACAATAACCATATTTGATTTGGGATTAAATAATGCAATAGTATTATCATCTTCATTTTCAATAGAAGAACGATCAAGCATTGTATTTTTTCTTCGATTTCCGTAACTTTTTGATAAACTTATTTTACATCGTTGAACAAGACCAAGTAAAGTACATGAAAATAATATGAAAAACACAAGTCCAAGCATTGGTGCTGCGCCAACAAATGCAGCAATAACCCATTTTGGAATGTGTGTATTCATAATATAAGAAAAAAGTTCGCCACTTGCACTTGTCTTGTTTTATATTGATGAAGTATTTCTACTAAAAGATGTGTTTAGATATATATGATTTCCAGAAAGCTGATAGATCGTTATTTTGATATCTGAAGGGAGAAGAAATGATGTCTACACACATATATATATAAATATATATAAAGAATATCTGACGTACACTCATCATCTACACTTCATTGCCAAATTTCGCTATTAGATCGAAGAGGCACTAAGAAAACTTGTTATCTTTGCTTTGCTTATATATACTGTCTTGTTGTTGCTCTTTGCAGTTGATTGACAAACGAGAATACTACGAACAGAAGTCGTCGAATCCTTGGTTTATTACAGAAAGAATTTGATGAGAAAGGAGAAGAAGAAAAAAAAAGGAGAAAAAAAACCGATGAGCGCCGAATCTCTTGAGAATAAAATAGAGAATGTTACAATGTCAATTGAATTGGTTATTTTTTTTTCTTCTTTAGGAACCTACATTGGATAATTTACAAAGAATAGCACAGAGATTAGCTAAGCGTGCATTAGAAAATGGTCATGATCCAAATTTCTATTCACCATTTGCTCGAAGTGCTAAACGATCATTGGGAATTAATATATGTGGTAAGAAAATAAACATTTATAAAAAAGACAAAGTCTTTTTCTCTAATATAATTATAAATATGTCATAATACATATTTTTAAATATAATTCTATTAGATTGTCTGCTTTATATAGTCAAAAAAAGAGCATAATGACAGGAAAATAAACTATACATGTTTTAGTTTTGACAGACAGATGGCTTTTTTCATCTTTGATATAATGTTAGTAGCAAAAAAAAATTGTCTTGACATGAAATAATGCTAAAAAATAATAATTAGCCCGGAAGTATTTCTTCGTTTAGGAAAAAAAAAGCTTCTCGTTAGAATGTTCAAATTTAAAATATTTTTTTTTCTTTCTATATATATCGATAAGAAGAAGTGGGTCTTTCCCCTATCATAAAACTATGCTTGTGCGCATATAAATTCAATAAAGAAAAGAAACTTAATTATGTCTTGTTATTCATTAGATTGTCTGAAGAGTAACGATAAAAAAACATACGTACATTTTATTTTGATTAATAAGTGAAATATGTACTACAATATTTCAAGAAAAGGTCATTTTTAAAGGGTAAATAACAGACTTCATATAAATATAAATTATTCGAAATAGATATATATTGCAAGAAGCTAATAATCAAGTAGAATAGTTTATTATTATTTATTTCAAATAAATTTAGCCAATCAGAAACAAAAAGGAAGTCCCATCGGGTGTTTTCTTTCATTCGATATGATAACGACATTTTTTATGATATTTATATAATTTAGGTGGGAAACCGGATGATGTAACTGTATTGCTTGCTGTCGTCAAATCAACATGTCTATGATGATAAATACAGACTTAATCAATATTCAACGAATGCTAAACGTGGTGCTATGCCGTACATATACTTTCTTTTGCCTTTACTTAAAAAATGTGTTTTGTTAAATCTAGTCGTGAGTAAAACATCAAATATAACTGGCAGACATATATAAATACGTTTAGAAAATCGAGCTTTAGAAATGTCATACAATCGTTGTAGAATTTAATCTTTTTTTTTTGCCGACCTATAATAAAGGCAAATAATGTCTGTTTTTTTTGTTTTTCTTTACTTTTTTTTTTGTTGTTGTTCTTTGTTTTTCTCATGCAAATCTTCCCGATGCGTACTGTGTATGTAGATTCGGCGACCGTTGATTGTTATTCATTCTAGTTCTCTCATTCTCACAGAGTTTTTCTTTCTTTCAGTTCAGAAAAAAATAATTTCAATTTCACATAGAATACAAAGAAGAAAAAAAAATAAATAAAATAAAAACACCTTTTATAGATATGTCGGACATAACTAACGAATTTATTGAAAAATGTGCGCTGATACTTGGTCAGTTTGATAGTAAAAGTGTTGATTTATTGGTAACATTATATCATCATCAAGATGCTTCTGCACAATTAATTAATTCACCAAATAAATTAAAAGAAAAATTTGAAAATTTACTAACAACTAAACAAGATAATAATGAAAGACATAATGATACACCAATAACAAGAATTGAATTGGCTGTAATGACGCATTTTAAAGATAAATATTTATCGGAAACAATAATTGATAATGATAATAATCAATTAAAAACTAATATGAAATTTCCAATTGATGATCAATTAGATTATGCATATTGTGTTTTATTAGCACTAATCAATGATCGTCTATCAGTAGATAAACATTTAACTGATTTAAAATTTCTATTAAATATAAAAAATCCAGTTCAAACTCTATTGGATGTTTATAAAGGATTATGTCAAAAATTTCCAGATTTTTTTTCTTTATTAATTAATTGCCAATATTTTGCAAAAAATTTAGTTATTATTGATGAAACTATTCGAAAATTTCAATTATTTATTGAACGATATAAAGATTTTTTAATTACATTTGAGAAAAGTTATAGATTATCATCTCATAATGGATATAATTATGTACAACATGATGCTATATCAAAACAAAATAATGCTCAGGAAGCTTCGTTATCAAATTCTGAGCTAATTAAACCATCAAGTAAAAATTTTAATATAAGAAACAAAGAATAAATAATTTTGTTTTTAGCATCTACAAAACAATCTTCGAACGTTACATCAGATTCAGGTAGACACCGATTAATATCGTCTCCAAGTTCATCAAATCTACCACAAAAAGGTCTATGTATTATAATTAATATCAAACAATTTACTCCATCAGCATCTTATGCTCCATCGAAACCACGAGCCGGATCTGATAAAGATGTTGATATGATTAAAGTTGTTTTTAAAAAACAAAATTTTACAGTATTAGAAAGTAGTGTTGATTTTAAAAAGGATGATTTCGACAGAGCATTTAAACATATTGATGATAAAACCGAATTTGGAAATTTTGATTGTTTTGTTATGTTTATTATGTCACATGGGTAAGATGATTGAAAAACAAAATGTATTTTAAATGTTTGTATGTTTTATCTAGTCTTTTACATTCATTTCTTACTGCTGATTCACAAGAAATTTTTATACGTGATATTATAAAACGATATTCGGATTCATCACCAACAACTATTTGGAATGGTAAACCGCGTTTATTTTTTATACAAGCATGTCGTGATGATCGACCTAGAAATGCTCAAAATAGTAATATTAGAGAAGTTGAACAACATGATTTATCACCACGAATGCTTGTTGCCTATTCTTGCAGCCCAAGTCAACCATCAAAACGAAGTCCAGAGACTGGTTCAATTTTTGTTCAAATATTCTGTATTATGTTACTTCATTATGGTCATATGTATGCATTCTATTGATAGAAGTTTATTTTCTATGTTTGCTTATTGATTTCTTTTATTAGGCTTTCTATTCAATGTATCCTTGATTGGACTGCTAAATATGTTACTAAACGTGACATACTTGTTAGAAATAGTGGTAAAGAAATATCTATTCAACAACCAGAATTTATTGATCGAGAATTTAATAAAAATTTTCGATTCTCAAGCACTTGTTTATATGATCAATATCCATTATGGAAACAGGAAGATCAAATGCCTTTACTTATATATAAACGAATCTTTACGGAACTTGGTGATGCTGTACATGCAGAACTTACTTCTAATTCTTAATTATGTATTCTAAATAATTCCCTTGTTTCTTTCTTATGTTTCTTAACAAAAAAAAATAAGTATATATCTATTCTTTTTCTTAATTTTATGCATTGTTTTTTATTGAATTAAATATTTTCTGTTATTTGAGCAATATTATTAAGCTAAGCTAATATACAAGAAATTTATAAGATGCATGTTTTCATTATATATATGAAGCCAAGAAAAATAAAATATTAATAAAAAAAATAAATATAGTGATTTTCTAAATATGATCATGGGTTTATGTGATTTATCTCACATTTAATCTCATTCCTTACATTATTACTGATGAGGGAAGCTTTCTAGCTGCGATCACATTTTAGTGAAACTAAGAAAACTCAAGAACAATAAGATGCGTGTCCATCGACTACTGATCAAAATTTATGACTGTTTTACTAAATTTTAGGCCTCTTCATATGCCAGGGACTAGCCGTAGCACAGCTGCCAGAAAGCGCAAAACATTTATCAAATCTAATATAGAATATAGACTGTTTACCCAGTCTGACAGCAACGCAGATTATTTGTCAAATCTGGTACGTAAGATAAATTGTTTGTCAAATCTAGCAGATGGTGCAGAGCATCTATCAAATCTAGCAAAGTAGATAGTACAAGGATGAGTAAATAAGTTGACTTTAGCTTTCTAGGTGTTATTATATAAAATCATCACTGTTCAATCAAATGATAGAATTTAAATGTATAAAATATTTTCTAAGACCACAAATAGAAGCAAATATTCGCCAGCGAATACTGATAAAAAAAATCATATTTAGTTACATATTGAAAACTTTGATAGGAATAACTGTGCGAAAAATTACTAGTCCCGGTACTCTGGAAAGTAATCGAGAGCCTTGTTTCCAATATCCAATTTTTATATTTGTTCATAGACACATTTACTAGTAATCGATATTTTATCAATATTATATTAGTATTCGCACCGAAGAAAATTGTTTATGAATTTGTTTGTAAAATAGTTCCATAAGTCATATGAGAATAAGAGAAAAAAACAATATATATTAAAATGCTTCTATCATTCCTTTCTTCATTGTTTTTGTCTATGAGATGCAAAGAAAACAAAAAACTGTTTCGGTTTATTCACGTGTAGGTGATGAAATAGACGAAAGAACTACATCAAAAACAAATAAAACAAAAGAAGAATCAAATAGTCTATAAATTTGTTTCTATTTTAATAGAATAAATATTAATAATTACGATGTTGTTTCCATGGTAGTTTATTAAAACGAACATCATCATCATCATCATTCTCATTTTGATCTTCAAACTATAATAAAATAAAAAGAGGAGAGGAAATTTTTTTTGAAAATACTCTAAAATACAAATTACCCGTCTTCTCAGTTCCGATTCTGATTCTCTCCATTCAGATGGAATTCTTCGATTAGAATTCCTATAAGGTAAACGTTTTAAATCAGCAAAACGATGATTTATTGGTGGTGGTGGTGTTGGTGGTACTCTTCTTGATATTAATGGTGAATTAATACGTTTTTCACGTTTAATTGCTGGTTTATAATAAGAACGTGTACCATTACAATTTATTCCATCAAAACGATCCATACAACCTTGTTTTGTATCATTAAATATTGTACCAGGTGGACATAAAAATATATTATCTCGATTACCAATACATACATGATAAATATTACACCAATCTAAATCAGCAAACATATTTTGTTGATCTTTATTTATACAATCAAAACGTGTTCTAAATTTTGAAGAAAAAATATTATATATAATAAATATGTTTGCATTTTATTTTATAATAATTACGGAAATTGTCCTGTCGCATCAAGACCTTCGAATAATATTGATGCATGATCAGCTTTTGGTTTTGATCGGAGAAAACTTCGTGGTGTTAAACATAATGTACCTTTTGTTTCATCATTAACATCTCCTTGATAATCACATTCTTTTTTCTTTTCATTGAAAACAAGACCAGCTATAAACGTATACAAAAAGAAGATTAATAATAAAAGAGATTTTATTTATTCTATATTTTACATACGACTACATTCCATTGTTACACCAACACCTTGTTCGTTACATTGTAAATAAAGATCACAATAACGTTGATGTTCAAATAAACCAGCACCTTTACTTATACAAAATTCTGAACGTAAACTTGATAATATATCATTTTCAGATAATTTTTCAACAAAAAATCTATAGACAAAAAAGAAAAGAAACGATTTAACTTGTATTAGTATTGTTGATTGTTTATCTTACAAAGCTTTTCCATTACAATCCGCTCCATCAGGTGATCGTTCTTTAGACCAATCACATTGACCAGTTGTTTCAGTTTCTTGACGCCAAACCTATGAATAATTTAGAATACAAACTAATGTACAAAGTAATCCAAGCGAGTTAGAGCTTTTATTGTATTAAACTCATTATTTATAATATGAAATGTATCCGTTCTATTATTTTGCTCAATTGTCTAAATATGTCAACCATCATAGATGCTTTGTTCACAGAATAATTAGTTTCTACAACTATTATTTTATGTTAACAGATTGACAGTTTCTATAAAAGTAATATCCTGAATTGTTTTCTCCAAATCTTCTGAAATTGAAATCCAAGCTAGCTTTTTTTTGTATGATTACTAATATATATGCTAAAATGTCTAATCATCATATATAAAAATGCATTCAAGTGTTGTATCTAATCATAGAAAATTAACAAGTCTCATCGTTTTCTTTACGATCAATAAATCTAAGTGTTTCATTTTCTCTTACAAGGCCAAAGCGTAAGAATCAGAACTTTCCAAACTATATTTATAAATATTCTCATATATCTAATGATCTAAATAACTTACTAAACCTCTTGTACAATATTGAATTGTATCAAAGCCACCATGACAATTATGATAAACATTACAGTAATATGAATCAGCATAATCACCATTTTGTTTTACCATACAGAATTTTGTTGAACGTCCTCGAGTATTATTTGAACCTGGACGTACTTCATCATCAAGACCTTCAGTATCTATATATATTCATAAAAAATTTGTTTTAGTAAATAAAATTTCATAAAATTGATTAATGAAAACAAACCAATTAATTTTTCTCGACCTTTACAATCAACTTTATCTTCCCAATCACATTCTTTTGTTCCTTCATTAAACATAAGTCTATTTGGACATCGTTTTGGATAATCCATAGCTGCTTGACATTGATGAAATATATTACAAAATCGAATATCAGGATAATTTCCATCTGGCTATTTAAATATGAAAAAAAAAATAATAATATTAATCATTATTATTAAAATTTCGATACATACTAAACGTTTACAAAAATTTTCTTTGATACCTTCCCACATATAATCTGGTTTACCTTTGCAATCAACATTAACAGCCCAGTCACATTCATTTTTTTCTATTGAATATCGTAAATTATTTTGACATGTAAATACAACATCTTTTCCATTTTGACATATATAATAACGATTACAATATTGTTCATGAGCAAAATTTCCATTTGGCTTTAAAAAAAGAAGTAAAATTTTTCAATAAATAAAAATTTTTATTTTTTAATTTACTTTATCTGTACAAAATCCATTTGTATCTTCACCTTGAAGTAATATATTTCCCCCTTTACAAATTGTTGATTCAGGCCAATCACAACGTTTTAACGTTGAATTAAATACTAATCGTTCAGGACAACGTAATTTAACATCAATATCAGCCATACATTGATGATAAACATTACAATCTGTATTGACCAAAAAAAAAAGAATATATTTAAAGAAATAAAAATTAATTATCATACAAATTGGATCAATATAAAATCCATCATTTTTTTCCATACAGAATAAACTTGATTCCATTGAAAGAGCAACAAGTGTACGTCCTGTACAACGAACATTATTTGACCATTCACATTTTTGTTGTTCATTATCCCAAAATAATTGATGTGGACATTGACGCATATTATCACCACCTGATTCACATACATGATATACATTGCAGTATTCTTCATGTGGATATGATCTATTCGATTTAGAGAAAAAAGAATAGCATATATTCATCCGAAATTTTCTATTATTTGTCATAGATTTTTATCAGATTCATGATAATTTACATTGCATAAGGCATGAAGATGTCAACTTTTATACAGACAACTTGTTTGATAAGAAAACAAAACAAAAGTATTCATAGTATTTTGATTAAATCGCTAGTTTTTAGTCGAAAAGAAAAGTCAATCATTATTCTTACGAAACATTCTATGTAAAATGTCAAAATGAACAAGATAACATTCTTTATCCTCTTACCCATCAGTTTTTCCTGTACAAAATGTTGAATTAAATTTATTTTCATTAGGTAACATTTTTTTTGGTGGACCACAATGAACAGATGATTCCCATCCACATTCTTTCTTTTTATCATCCCATTGTAATTCACCTGTACATCTTACAATATGATCCGTACCACCAATACAATGATGAAATGCATTACAATAAGTTTCCGATGAATAACGTCCATCTTGTCGATTTGTACAAAACGATGTTTTACCTTGAACAACAGGCATTGTTTTACTTGTACAATTGACATTTGTTGTCCTTTAGAAGAAAAAAAAACATAATAGAATCTAAAAGATTAATATTAGAATTGATATTTATACCAATCACACATTTTCTTTTTTTCATTCCAAGCTAATTGATTTGGACAATGTTCTATATAATCAATACCAGCTAAACAATGATGATATACATTACAATATAATGGATCTTCATAATAACCATCAGCACCAAGAATACATTCAACAGTTCCATTGCCTATATTCGGTTGTGATCGAGATAATGACGTTGTTGCAGTTGTTCTTTCAGTAGTAGTTGTAGTCGTGGTAGTAGTGGTTGTTGTTGTAGTAGTAGTTGTTGTTGTTGTTGTTATTATTCTCTTTCTTGTCGTCGTTGTTGTTGTCGTTGTTGGTGATATTTTATTATCACTATTCATATTATTATCCTCATTGAAAAAAGCTGATACACGTGATCCACAATTAACGCGTGAAGCAAGTTCACAGTCACGAGATATTTCTGAAAAAAGATAACCTTCTGGACAAAGTGATGGTTCTGGTAAACCTGATTGTGTGCATGTAAAATACATATTACATAAACGTTGATCTGGAAAACGTATACCAGTCACACCTGATGGACAAGTAAAACCAATTTGAGCTAATAATGATTGAATATTTGGATTTGATGATGGTGATGATGATGATGAAATCGTTTGTTTCATAGGTATAAATGGTCTCAGTCGATTGTCATTTGGTTTATAAAATGATGGAAAAGTAGTAGTACTAGTTGTAGTTGTCGTTGTCATTTTTGTTTGATATGATGCTTGAGTAATTGGTAATTTAAAAAACATATTCGATGGAGATTTTCGTATTGGTGCAGGTGTTGATCTTGTTGTCGAAGCTAAAAATTAATATTTTAAATATATTAATTAATAAAAAGATAATTAACTGACAAGTTGTAGTTGTTTTTTTTGTTATTGGATTATTATTATTGATTTGCGAAGGATTTCGAAAATAATTCGAATTTTGATGCCAAAGATATTCTGGTATTGGATATGGTCCTGGACCAGGTAAACCAGCTTGTGCAGCTGCTTCAGCAAGTATAACAGGATCAGGTAATGATGGTTGTGTATATTGACTTTGATTATAATTAATAATTGAAAAATTCTTTTGTAATTGTGACCATAAATTAGGTGGAAGTAAATGTATAAGTGATTGCATAGTTTTTCTATCGGTTAAATGTCGTGCAGCTTCTTCAGCTGTTGTATTATAAATATCAAATTGTTGATTATTAGCTAAATTTTTACTATGAAAACGAGTTCGATTCAATAGATTCATAATTAAATCACTATTATTCATGAAAAATGATCCTATCGTAGAAGTTTCATTAAAAAAATTCTCAATTGTTGTTTCATTATTTTCTGTATCTATTAAAATTGATCGATTTTCTATTGAATAATTCGATGTTGTTACAAATATATTATTGAAAGTTGACGATACAATATTTTCACTTGTAAATGAAGTTTCATTATTAATTAAAGTAGTATCATTGGATATGAATGTATAAGTACTGTTTTGTAGCAATGTTGTTGGTTCAGTTGTTAATAATGTTGTAGTAATAAATTCTGTTGTTAACGTTGAATCAGTAGAAGTTAATGTTGTAGATGTTAAATTTATTGTTGAATTTTCATTCTCATTATTTATAGGAAGTATTGTTGATGTTTCTGATAAAAATTGAACTGATGGAGTTGTACTTGATTGAAAAAAATCAAATTGAAATGAACCAATACCATCATCATATCGTTCATCAGATTGTTCATGTTGTTGAGATGATGATGATGATATATCATCAACACTTGGATAATCAAATGCTTGAAGATAATTTGGAATATAAATGGATTGATGTTGAGCATGAAGATAGTCTATAAAAAAACAGTACTAATTAAATAATATAATAAAAGAGAAATTAAATGACTAACCTGTAATTAAATATAAAAAGATGATATAGGAAGAATAATACCACCATTTCAACATTGTTCGAAGATATTCAATTAATCAAATACGAAAAAAAAACGATGATTGTAACGGCGACGACCGGCGACAGCGGCCTAATCAAGTTGTTGTGTGTACGGATGCAATTGCTCGAATTTCCCTTTTTACACACGCATATACCCTGTTCTTCTCTCTCTCTCTCTGTCTTTCGCTTTGTCGTTTTCGTATATTCCTTTTGCTTGATGAGTATATATGATTGTTTGTTTTACACTCGATGTTAATTGTGAAGAGAAGCAAAGGAGCTCCAATGTCCAGAGTATATATATATATACATATACCTAGAGGAGAAGAAGAAGAATTGACAAGAGACAAATGAGGAAAAGAATGAACAATGCATGCAAAAAGAACGAAAAGATCACCTATCCTTTCTTTTTTTTGTCTTCTTCCTTTTCTTCTGTCTACTTTCGAAATGATTGTATGTTGTATAGATTACGAATTGAACTAGTAAAAGTCATTTTATATATTGTTCAATTGTCCTATGAGATTGAAGTAAAGAATTTACTAGGCAAGATTTACTCAAAGGTGACATTGAATGGATCATGTTAGGTATTATATGTTCAACACAAAAGTTCCACATATCATTGTGATAATTCTCTTCGTTCACTATTCTTTTTAATACCTCAAACTATGTTTAACGATGGCAAATGTCGAGTTGGCTTAGAGTTTGCATACGCGTTTGTAAACATGCCTTCTGTTGAATTTTCTTATTTTTTCTCCTTGTTTCTCAATGTACATCAAAATCCGATGGGTGATGTAAGATAGATGAATCCCTCTTTCGTTATTTTTTTTCTTCCTTATTATTCTCTTTTTGCTTTCAATACATTCATTATATATTCAACATTGAATAAAATGTTTCAGTTGATTATAACTTATAACTTTGTTTTGATTAAATTTTCGAAATAGTAAAATATTTATAAATATAATTAATAAATGACACCAATTGCATGGATGATTTGTCATTAATGCTCTATACATGCTTTCGATAAATATTGAATAATATTTTCTCCAATCCTGTCACATTTTGTAATCAAAAGGACACTGATAGTCACGCTTGTTTGCTTCTCTATATTCTTAACTTGAAATGTGTCTCATTCAGTCAACGGTTTGTGTGTCTTTTTTTTCCATTTCTTCGATCATTTATTTTTTCATTATTGGTATAAACCACAAACCATCACCATCGATCATTTATGCTTGTTTATTTGCTCATCGCGGTTGGTTAACGTGTTATTTCGTCCTTGTGATAGTGCATTTTTCTTCCTCAATATATTTTGTGAGATTTTTATGCTTGTCTAACTTTAGAAAGTTATTAGCATCCGTACTTCATCCAGGTTAATCAGATCAAGAATAAAAGTTAAAAAGAAAAAGTAGGTGAAAAAAAAGGCTAAAATAATATTTTGCTATTACAGATTACAAATAATTTATATATCTGAATAAAATCTCAATTAAAAGATAATACGAATTATACAAAAATAAATAAGTCGATAGATATACTTTATTTTGTGACTCATTCACATTTAACTTACTAACCGAAAATGATAATAACAATAACAAACACAATAACAATACAGTTCGCTTATTATAGATTGTTACGCTTCTTTGATTTTTATACTATTTCGTATGAAAGAAAAAGCGATATACTAGAATACAAAGAAAAAAATAAATGGCAACATTATTTCCACCAGGCTATGGAGGTTATCCATCGTATCAGTTTAGTTCACCTAATCAGTATTCTAGTCGATATTATAATGATAGATATGGAAGGCGAGAAATGGCTTTTGCACCTCATTATCCCACTCAACAACCTTTGTATCAACCACCATTCAATCCCGCTGGAGCGTATTCATCAAATAGATATGATAAAGCTGGATTATTCGGTTTTGGAAATCAACTTATAGGTGCTCTAAATGAATTAGATGATCGATATCGACAAGAACAATATTATAATAGATTATCAAAATTAGAAAGACAGTATCAAAGATTACATGGCACTGCTATGCCATTACCGTATCAATCAGCTCCACAATATGAATATGTAAAAGAGACGCAAATTGTACCATTTCCAATCCTTATGAATCCGGGTGCAGCAAGTTATGGTACTCAAACTATTATCGGTAATAATAATCCTTGGAATATGGGCTATAATAATAATACGACTATGAATTTTGGAGCAGGTTTTGGTGGAGATTTACCACCAAAAATTAGAGTCATTTTTATACCAACAGGTCAATCTCTTTCGCAACAACCATGTACAGGTCCATTGGTGAGTCAGCCACTTAAATAATTCTTAATAAAAAAAAAGAAACTAACTAATCAAATAAAATATTTATATATATATATGTTTTAGGCGATGCCACCTTTTCTGTACAATCGTATATCACAACCATTATCTTCATTTCCATTACCACCACCGTTGCCACAGCTTGGATCAATGCCTCTTACTCCGGCCGTACAGCAAATGGTTCTACAACGCTATAGTAATCCTATTGCTGTATTACCTTATAGTTCTAACTGGCAACAACCTCAATTGATGAGGCCCAATTTTTCACAAGGTTTCCAACAACAACTACAACAACCTATGGTACCCATGCAACCATATCTTCCGGCTCCTCAATCATATATGCCTCCTGCGATGCCCGCTTATCCATCATATCCTGCTGCTTCACAGCAATACAATTCTTTTCCTGCTCCTGTACCTTTTCAAGGTTTTCCATCACAAGCACCTGCACCACAACCATACGCTTCCTATCCTGCTCCTGCACCTGTTCAATGTTTTCCATCACAACCACCTGCACCACAACCATACGTTCCCTATCCTCCTCCTGCACCCGTTCAAAACTTTTCAGCATTACAACCCGCTCCTGCTTCTGTACCTATTCAAGGTTTTCCATTATTACCACCTGCTCCACAACCTTATATACCTGCTCCTGCTTATACACAAGGATATTCGTCACTTCCACCTGCGCCACAGCCTTACGCTCCTCCTTCTAGTTTTACTGTTCCATATAATAATCAATGTATACCACAATCACCACTATCTCAGTTTTCATCAGTATCCGATCCTTCGAGTACTAGCTATCCAAGTCTCTGTCGTGCATGTCCACCAGCACCACCTCCACTCACCATATCGGTTTCAGGTCATTGTTGGGTACAACATTGTTCCGCATGTCATCATGTACCTACCCATGACACCAATCATAATGTTCGACCAAATACTGGACGATCTACACCGTTACTTCGTCATCCAACTGTACCACAATATGTACCAGATCAAACACCATATCAACCACCATATCCACAACAACAACAACAACAACAACAGTGTATGCTCCCGAATGCTCCTGGTATGATGCGTCCATGGTTACGAAAGACACCACCACTTCCGCCTGGTTCTGTTGTTCTTTCCGATAAATGTTTCAATAGAGATGGTTCTTGCTGCTGGGACTATAGTCATTCACAGAAACAACATAGACCACACAGACAACATAGAGAACGTAGACAACATAGAGAGCATAAACGTGGTTCTCAAAGCAAACGTCGATCTACAACAATCTCATCAAGATCAGGATCTTCTGATGAACCAACTGCGTTAAAAGCAAGCAAAAGTGTTTCACCAAGAAGAGCAAGCAAAAATAGTAAGAATTCTTCTCAAGAAAAAGCACCTGTTATATTAAAGAATCCAGAATCACGAAGTTCATCATCTGGTTTATCTACTGAATATGATAAAACAGCAATGTATGTGCCTCCGGAGAAGAAAGAGCCTGTTCCTGAACAATTAGCAGGAGAAGCTCGTAATGTTAATCTTCAATATAATTATCAACCACAAGAATTACCTTCTGTTTATCATACTAATCGTTATTTAAAATCAAGCAGTGAAACTTCAACAATATCCTTGAGTGGTCGTGCATCATCAGAACTTTCTTTCTCATACGTTAAACAAGGTAGTCGAACTGTAACGGTTATTAATGATTTAAATTCAATAAACGAAGAGTCATTCAATCACAAAAAACAGGAGAAGCCGCCTCTTCCACCTTCGTATACAAGAAAATTGAAAGATAAATTATATATTATACGAGAGTTATCAGCTGCTTCTCCATCAACATTTAGTACATATTCATCGGATGCGCCATTTGATATCATTGACAAGGATATAGACTCTATTTCGCTATCAAGCACAATTGAAGGAAACAAATTAGAAGGAGACGCTAACCTTCATCATCAAATGTTTTAATTTACAACTAATAATATCAATGCATTCATTATCTATCTATTTTTATATGTTGAATAAAATGTTTACATTATTTTTAACAGTACAGTTACGAAAGATCGATTTTGAATTTTTTTTTTCTTAAATGATAAAAATTTTCTTTCGGTATTTTATTTTTCAATTAAATAAATTATTGATTAAAAAATAATAAGATAATATTCTTATATGATTAAAATTAGAAGATGAAAAATAAATTCAAGAAAAAAGTTCTGTTCAATAATTGTTCTTTTTTTTATCAATACAAAGCATCATTAACAAAGATAATCAACAGTTGGTGATGCATTCATTCCATTTCCTTGTTGTTGTTGTTGGTGTTGTGGTCCATTATAACTTGAATTCCGTCTAATTGGTGGAAATATTTGAAATTCCGATTGTTTAGCTACCTCTTTTATTGGTGGAAAATTTCGATCAGCCGGAATATTAATCTCAGATGTATGACGAAGTAACATCGAAGAACTTCAAGTAATAAAAACGAATATAAATGCAATCCTATTAGATATTTTTCACTTACTATGGTAAATTTGCTTCATACATCTTCTCATTTGATACAGGTAAAACAAAATGTTCAACAGGATGTAATGTACCACTACGATCAGTATATGTATCACGATGTTGTTGAGAAAGCTGAAACAATATGAATATTTCTTTTGTAACGAAAAAAAGAAATACTAGAACTAACTTGATAAAATTTTCTTATTTCATTTGTTCGATCAACATTTGTATTATTAAGTGAATATTTTGGTATATAAAGATATTGATCACGACTACGACGACGATCACTCATAACAAGTTCTGGTTGATGAGTATATGGAGTTGGAAAATATCCACCTAGAAATTTTGCCCAAAAAAAACAAAGTCAAAATTTTAAAATTAGAAAAAGTTTTTAACCTCGTGCATAAAGGCTTTTTGATGAATTGAGTGCTTCACTTCGATAATCTTGAAAATATTTTGATGTTGCATTACCAAATGTTTCACCATATTGATATTGAGTAGTCGGAACATGACCTATCGAAAAAAGACTAATTATCAAAAGTTAATTTTTTAATTATTCGAAAATTACCTCGATAACCAGGCATAAGTGATGGTGGGTAGTAAGCTATATTCGATTATTAAATTATTATTAATTTTATTATGAAAAAAAAAACACATACTAGCATTATAAGTTGTTTGTAAAGTTCCAGCAGCTCGTGACATTGTACAGTCAATCGAAAGTTAAACAAGACAAATAATATTAAATATTTTACTTTTTTTCTTCTTACAAAGAAAAACAATTCTTTACATTGTAACAAAATTTAACTATGAGTTACTACCCATCGACCTCCTTGTAGACAAGAATTTTTGTATGTCGCTAGTAAACAGAATTTTTTTTATTACATTTGCGCCAATTTTATATTCTTTCGTTCAATAATAATGCCATTTCATCTTTGTAATTCATCATATGTATATGCGAAAAATTATGAAAAATCTATGAATAATAATTACATATTTCAACGACAATTAAATTTACAATCACGAGAAAATAAACGAAAAATTGAATATGAACGTATACAAAAAGAAAATGTTAAATTTAGTCAAAAATTAATCAATGCAAAACCTTTTCATAATCGTTATGAACAACAAATATTTTTTGATAAACATTGTCAAATTAAACAACATTTAAAACGTTATCCAAATTTAAATCGAATTCAAAGAAAAGTTCCATATTCTACAAAAGTACTTCCACCAATTACTGAAAATACGGAGTATGTTATTATCAATTAGAAAGTATAGTGAAATATTAAAAATTGAATAGAATGCATTATGAAATTAGAAGTCATTCAGATGGAACGTCTAAACGGTGAGAGCAGGAAAGACTCAGTGAATATTATACGAAAGTGAAGAGGAGATATCGAGTATTTTTTATTAAGTAACCAAATTCTGATAATAGTTTATAAAATTTTCTAAAGCATCTCGATGATATATTATTATTTTAAAGAAAAATATAGAACAAGCGAAATTAATCAAGTAAATGATAACTCATCGTTTTCAGTAATTTTTATTATTTAAACTCTGTTTTAGAATTGAACTCACGAAAACGATATTATAGCATTTTCTTAGGAAGATGAGAATAAATGTATAGAAAGTGTTATGATACCATTTCTACAAGTTAATCTCTTGATAATAGTTTCATACAATAGAATGTAATTCAAGCAATAATTTATCGTTTCTCTGAATCAATCAAGATTTTCTCATATGTTCGTCTAGGCGAAAAAAGTCATTTTATCTGGATGTCCTTAATGGGTACTCTAGACGAAAAGTGTATTTTGACAATACTTCGCTTATTTGACATATAGAGAACAGATATATCAGGTCAATGTAAATCATATCTTAGATATTCATATTTAATACAAACTTTTATCTTTTCTAAAAACTTTATTAGTCTATTAACAAAAATACCGAATACTTCCAACACTGAAATCGATTCATTTATTAATATTATCGAACAATCACCATCATTATCTATTAAAAATATGTCTTCATCTCAAACTTCTTCTTCAATATTAGTATCAAATTTATCGAATCTATCAATTTAGAATAATCTGTTTTCTTCGACATAAATCATTTATACAAAGCACCAAGATGATCAAAAAGAAAACAAACGTAAGCATAAATATACTATATAGAAAAATAGTACATGAAAAAGAAAAGAAAATAAAACAATTATTTAACAATCAGTCGAACTTCGTATCGTTTTTCGTCGACCATTCAATGATATTTGTTGTTTTCTAACAGGTGTTGTTCTTCGTTTCCAAATAGGTGATGGACTTCGTCGATGATTATTATTTGATTTTCGATTTAATGATTTTGAATTTCCTGGTAATATTGCATGACAAGAACGACTTGATGTTATTTGTTGTGATGAAGAAGATTTTTTAATTGAAAATGATGGTTCAGATTTACGTATATTATCTATGGAATGATTAGATGAATTATTTTGTCGCCATTCAACTGATGTTGCTGCAAGTATACAATTATTAATTGTTTTAACAAATGTTTCAGCATCTCTATTTAATAATAAATATTTAAATATTTGACAAAAACAAAATTTGTTATTTTAAATTTACTTATTTGCAAATCGATAATATGTTTTGAGACGTGTTTTTATATCAATTTGAATTAATTGCCAAGTACAAATATTATTTTTATTATCATGAGTATCAATAAATTCAACATTCATTTCTTCTATTGGAATAAATCGAATAAAACGATCAGGAGTTATTTTATTTCCTTTATGACTTAATGATGAATCCTAAAACAAAAAACAAATTTTCGTATAAAAAATTTTAATTTCGTGTTTTTTTTTGAATTACTTGTTTCTTTTTATTTATTTGTTCACGTACTAATAAAATACAGCCATTACGGAAAATAAAGCAATATGTTTTTAAACGTTGATAATTTTTTCCAAGAACAAATAAGTGTATATTTAACCAATCTAATTCACTATATGCATACAGTTCAGGTAAATTCAATTGTATACTCTAGAAAATAATTAGAAGATTATTTCGATCGATAGAAGAAAATAATTCTTACTTTATTATGTTCTTCACTATAAGTTTTCGTTATAGATTCAAATGATTGTCCAAAATCTTCATATAATTGTTGCATACCATTCATATATTCTCCAATATCATTCATCATTGTAATTGCTTGTTTTAATTTAATTATTTCTTTTGAATCATTTGAATCATTTTCATTTTCATTTGAATAAATCGACATTTGTTGTAATAATAAAGGATATTTAAGTATACGTTGAACAGGTTTTATTAAATAAGATTCAAATGATGATGAATGTTGATGACGTGGATTACGTGCAGCAAGAAATTCTTTTAAATGTTGATTATTTTGATGAATATCAAGTAAACGATTTATTCGTAAATGCATTGCACAAAATGAGGAATATAATTTAAAATATTGAGAATATGAAAGAAATGTATCTGCTATTGATATAAGAATATCCTAAGAAAAATAATTCAATTAAATTTTTTTTTATTAAATATAAGAGAGAAATAATACTTACACAAAATTCATGTACAGCATTATAAGCAAGAATTTCAGTTGGAATATCTGATTCCAGACGTTCAAGAAATTTTTGTTGTAATTGATAAATTGATTTAACACTTATATATAATGATTCAATTGTATCAGCAGGTAATAATTTAGAATCATCACGTAATGGTTCAATATATCGTTCAAGTAAACGTTGCATATCCTAGAAGAATAGAATCAAAAATTTTCTTTATTAATCTTATTTAAAAGAATACAATTACATAAGTTTGTTATTTCGAAATAAAATATTCAAAACTTCTGACCTCGAACTAGACAATCACTCTACTCTTAAAATAAACTTCGTGCAACTTAATTGTTAATAGATACTCTGGACTGTACAAAGTCGACTGGTGATGCTCAAGAAAACAAGCACATAGTTACAAGCTACAATTTGTCGAAAAAATTGGAGCTCACTTAACTTGACCAAAAGTATTTCAGTATTATATAACTTACCTGAACATAAGTTCTTTCTGTTTCCACTAATTCAAAAATAACTTTTCGTATTCGTTGTGCATTTGAAAGAGTTTTAATACGTGGTGGTTGATTAATTACATTAACTTGTTCAGTATTTGGATTCAATACTGTTGTTGTTGGTCGACAATATCGACTTAATTCATCAACATTTTTTAATAAACGTTCAAGTGCTGATGGTGATGATGATTCATTTTCTTTGATATCTTTATTATTCGATGGCATATGTTCATCTGAACAACTTGAATCAGGTTTAGGAACAATAAGTTCACGAAGTTCTTGTCTTGATAATCGTTCGATACGTTGCGGAGGTGGTGGACAAATTAAATTTTGAATAATTGCATGAGAAAAATCAAACACTTGATTATTATCTTTTATCGCATCAGCTGATCTTAAAATATGACGAAAAAAAAAATTGATTTTTTTTTTTTTACTTTTTATTTTCAACAAACCTTGATGAGCGAAGTGTTAATATAATTGGTGTTTGATAAAAATAATTATCAAGTGTATTAAGATCAAGATCTTGTACAATTGAATTATTTACAATAACGATTTCATCACCTTTCCTTACTCCTAAATAAAACAAAAAAATAAATTATTAAATTGAAATTTTTTCGAAATTTATTTTCCTACCTAATTGTTCACTTTCACTTCCAGATATTACATTCGATACAATTACTTGTAATGAATATTCACGATATAATTTAGTTATAATTTCAATTCCTGCTAGATTAAGTTCATTATTTAATGTTATTTGATAGACAACTTTTCGTTTTATTTCAATTGAAGAATAAGTCTATGAAAAGGAAATTAAATAAATATTTATATAGAGAATTGAAATAATAGTTTATAACATACTAAATCACATAATTTATCATTTAGATTAGGTACAAATTGATTTGAAGATGATGAATCAAAATGTAAAAAATGATCATCGATTTGTAATCCTAATTTACCAGTTACACGTTTTAATAATTCACCAACAGTTGCCATTTCATTTATTGATACAATTGTTCTCTAGAATAAAAAAAAGGAAAGTAAGATGAATCGATAAAGACCAAATGAAATATTATGTAATGTACTATTTTTCTAAATAATATAGATATTTTTGATCATCAAAATCTATTTATTCGTCTAACATTGAAAATATATATATGTATATACTGATAATATATAATCAATCGTAGACAGAAACGTTATTTACATCAATAATTATCGTAAAAGTATAGTTTTAACTTGTTTCGAAAGAATGTCGATCTTTTCTTTCTTTTTTTTACGCTCAAGCGAGATACAGTGTTTTATCAATTATATGATATAATATACATTAGGGTAGCCCATCTTGTTCAAAAAAGAAATGTTTATATCCATATACTTTAAGGTTCTTTGGACATATCAAAGATAGAATCGGTGATAGTAGTCATCTTCACTCTCATTTTCACCTTCATTTTCAAGTACATGATAGACCGAATATATGCATTATATATAGCAAATCAATCAATAGAAACTATCTTCTATCATCTATTTTGCAATAAATAAATTTAATAATCAAATGTATTCTACTATTTGTGATCAAAGGATGGTTTTCTCTTGCGCGAAAAATTTGACCTTGTCATGCCAATAACATCAGAAACAATATATTTCTTTGTATCGAATGTATCTATTACTCAGACTTATTTACAAAAATTACTAGCACGTCTTTTAACCATTTGAGTATCATTCAAAAATCTTTAGTATACTTTAAAGTGTAATTAGATTTTCCTCTTAATAACACCTTTGGGAATTTTCTATTCTTATTTAATCAAAAAACAGATCTATTTCCTTTTGTATTATAAAACTAACCATCTGTGGATTTGAATCACATGTAACCATTTGTAAAATTGTTTGTTCAGTTACTGTTGATGATTGAGCAAAATTAATAGGACTTGATGGTGTTGTTAAATAACATTTTGTTTGTTGTTGATCATCATTATTATTTGTATGAGCTAATTTATATTTTGATTTATGACGATCAAATTGTCTTCGTGCAGAAATACATGCATAAAAACTACATGGTGTAAATGCCGTAAGTTTATGTAGTGATGCTTTCGTTGTTGGACATGCTTGTGAAAGTAAATCTTTCGGATTTGGTAAATCTCTATCATTTGTTAATGCACATAAATAACATTTATTACGAAATAAATCAACATGAAATGCTTCTAAATTTTTTTCCCATAAATTTATTTGTTTGGATATAAGTAAACGAACTTTTTGATTTGTTGATGATTTTAATTGTAATTCACCTAATTTACGCATTTTATTTTCACGTTCAATATTATCTTCTAATTGTTTGATAACTTTTTTTAATAAATTTTCTTTTGTTTTTAATAAACAAGAACAATGTATATTACGAATCCAATGATCTAATTCAGATTGATCAGGTGACTGTAAACAATATGTATCACCAGTATGTGTTGTTAAATTAAATACATGTTGACGATAAGGATGTTCAGGTAATGGATAACAAAGACTCTCAACAATGTCTAAAAGAATAAGAAGATATAGATATATATAAATAATACAATAGATATGTTTATTGTGTATTTTGTCTTACTTTTTTTCGTGTTCTCACAATCATTCACTCTATAGGACACTAATCTGTGATTAGTTCTTCTATACATATTCAATGTATATGTATTTCGCTTTTCTTTTACTCTCTGTCTTCTTCTCATTTTTACTCTATGAATACAATTCTCACCATGATCCAAACTCAAATGACGCAAACTGAGTTGTTCTATGGCAACAAACTGAGAAGTTTGATTAATAAGAATACATACATCTGTAATTCATTTGAATTGCAGAAGAAAGAGAATAAGTTCGATCGAAGGTCAAAAAATATTTTCAAGATTTCTAACTTACCTATTGTAAGTTTTGGATTGACGTCAGAATAATCATTATATAGATGTAAATATGATCCTTTCAAACATGCCCAAAAACGTTTCCATTGACGTTTAGATGCTAGTTCAACTTTATGATGTCGTTGAACAGTTAGCCAATGTTTAATATGAAGCCAACTAAAATCGACAAAATCACTTTAAAATGAAAACAAAACGTACTACAATATGTTTACCCAGCCTTTTGCAATCTAAAACTTTCAAAAGAATCTTCAGACAATTGGCTGTCAGCGTTTATTTGTGGAATTGGTGTAGTATCATCGTCATCATCATCATCATCATCACCATCATCTGAATTCAAATCTAAAATCAATAAAAAAAAAAAATTTTTTTCTTCTTTTTTTTTTCAATCAATAAAATACAAATATATGTTTAGGATTATATTCAAATATCTTAAATAAAAATAAATTTTAATTTCATCGAAGGTGTGACCTTCACATGAAATGAAGAGATTATATACGTCGTCATTATTTCTAAGAAAAGCTGCTTAACAATTTTTACATTCGAATTGAGATATGTATTTCATATTAATAGTCATGTAATTACCTTGTTGTTTGTCAACTATTTGTTGCTGTTGTTGTGATTGTGAATAATGAAATGATTCACTGTAACTACTTAGTCTCCAACTTGATCCACTATTACGTCCAATTCCACTATCTGTACGTTCTGATTCATTAAAACTTGTTCGATTTAGATCATAATCATTTTCATTTACTATTTGTGCAGGTTTTTTTATCGTCATCTGATAATCAGGTACAATTATATCATTATCATCATTACTGCCATTATTAGCAATACCATTTTCTATTGATTCAAGTGATAACGTATTTCGAATAGATAAAGATGATTGAAGTGATGTAGTTGCATGTTGTCGTTTAAGTTTACTAATATTTCGTCGTATAACAACAATTTGTTGTTGTTCTTCATCTTCTTTTTCATTCTCAGATAAAATTAAATCAGCAGTTGGTAAATGACATTTTTCATTGTCCGAATTACTTTCATTACTACTACCACTATTCATAAACATGCCACCGGACATCACCGTTTTGATTGCTTTCGACGATTTCTTCATTCATCAGTTCGTGATATATCTGAAATAATAAAGAAAAAGACGAAGAAGTAGAAGAAAAAAAAGAAGAACAAGGAGGTGACCGCAATTGCCATCGCTTCCCTTCCATTCAACGGCACAAGGTAGACGGAAGGAAAACGAAGAGAAGGACGTGCATACGCGTCTGTCGCCTTTTTGTTATACTCGACATATAATATGCTTTGATTTCAGGTTTATTTGCATCTGTTCTCGAACATATCAAATAAAAGGTGGCATTGTAGAAGCAGCCATGTGTGATGGAAACTTGTTACTATGCTTATTGTTTGTTATTATTGCTTGACATTGCCGTATCGAAATATATTTTGATATCATTTTCTCCGTCATCCTTTATCTTTCTTTCTGTCTCTCTCTCTCCCTCTCGATTTCGCACTGTCACTCTCTCTCTCTCTCTCTCTCTCTCTCTCTTGTTTCATAATACTATTAGCAAGAGAAAGAGAGTGAGAAAGTCGACGGGTGGTAACATTATAGTAGTGTTCAATTATTTTCGTCATTCTTTTCTTTTCTCTTTTGTTGCCTAGTAAATGACAAGAGAAAAGAATGAAAAAGAAGAATACGAAGAAGAACAAGTAGTAGTAGTAGTAGTAATAGAAGAAGAAAAATATATACCTACACTTTTTCACTTTATATGTCTAAATGTCTTTTTGACAGTAACGAAAAAAAGTAATAGTAAAAATGATCAAAAGGTAATACATATATTAAATAGATGCCCTTGCATAACACTCGCTTAGAAATGTCAATAGGATGACCCTGTTGTCATCATTTACCTTTTACTCGACATCGTCAAGTGGCTATAACTTACTCTTGTCGTTTGCCTACTTCTTCTTCTTCTTCTTCATGGATGTGTTATATTGATATAGAAATCCATCTGTTTTTATAGAAGACTATGACCTTGCTTAGTGGAAAGAGAAGTGCGAGAAATAATAATAATAACAATCATACTACAGTACTCAAAAGGTCGTCATTAATTTTACTCTTTATAATGTAAAATTCTAACATATAAATTATTCAAACGAATGAAATTCATGAAGCGATATAAAATTACCAACTAAAGACAATATTAATGATAATATATTAGAAAAAAAAGAGAAAAGTGTGCTAATTGATGAATGTTATACACACGTGCCGTATGGTAGTCTACTTTCTTCTTAATCTATGTCAACGAAAGTCGCCGGTTAATGTCTAAAACGACCATATTTGTCACGTCAAATTGGACAGAGACGAGCGGAAAATGAATACAAGACAAGGAGAATAGAGAAAGAAAGATACGAGAATAATATGGCACATTGCCAAAGATCAGACAAATGATAAAATTGAGCTCATAACAAGTCTCTCAATCATAGTCATTCAACGATTTATTTATAATAACATCATTACATGTCTATAAGGATTTGCAACTTTAATTTTATAAGAAAAAAAAGAGTCTGAAAGGATATTTATTGCTTCCGATAGAAATCTAACATTGCTTTACTTATAATATAAGTATGATGTTGTTGAGATCGATCGTTGATCGTACTCCTCTAAGACATCGTCAACGACAAAAAGAAGAAAAAAAATGTAACAATGCCGTAGAAACGTCGAGTAAGCCTATGTCAAAACTAATTTGTTCGTCTGATTGATTCAATTATGGTAGCCCTGAAACGATCGGTCGTTTTGTTAACAGAATAAAAAAAAAGGTTTTTCTCTAATATCTAAATTCAATTCATTGTAATAGAGATTGAGCTCTTTTTGTTGTTGTTATCTCTTCACACACTAACATGCGAATGATGCTCTTAGTGCATTGCATACATACACATGCAAACATCAAACACGTCGTAGATGCGTACGAGTCAGATAATGGATATCCGTCGAGCTGAGATGATGAAAATGTCTTGCTCGGGAAATTGAATGAACATCAATAACAACAACAGAAGTACTAGTAGTAGTAGTAGTA